AATTAATTAATTAATGAACGGGGGTTTGGGTTTCTTTATCTTCATCACTAATTAATTAATTATTAATCAATCAAGTGGCTGAATCATATACAAAAGTTGACAAACAACAATAAGATTACAAGCTAAGAAATTGACAATTAACAGCAAGATTAATTATAGGCCCCTTGATTGGAGGGCAAAAGATACCAAAGAATCTGGTGCAAACAAGTAGAGTTGATTTCTCTTCCCCCATGGTCCTCTTTAATTTGTTTTATACACCTTGAAAAGAGAGACCCATCTTCACATGGGTGTTACTTGATTTTGAAGGAAAAGTGCGGGCTTTGGTAATGGTGGGTAAATAGTGTTTATTCATGTCCCCCATCCCCTATATGCTCAACTTTCCCATGTGATCCAACTGAACACTATAACCTAATGATCATTTAGGGTTTTTCAGAAGGGTTTGGGGCTTATTAATTACTTATTAATTAAGTACTGAAGAACTCAAATCTAAGTTTTGGAGGCAATCTTGGATACCTCTTTGCTAGATCTGTTGTATTTCATGTGGCTCTTCACCAGTTGTCCTGCTGCTATAGCAGACATCAGGGAGAGCTCTCCTGCTAGAACAGATCCAGCTACTATGCTGGCCAGAAGTCTTGAGTTTGACCCTGGATTGTCCCTGCTGGCTCCTTTGACTCCAAGTAAGTTCAGACATGCTGACTGGGATGCCAGCTGTGTGCCACCTCCCACTGTTCCTACCTGATTCATTCAATGAACTCTCATGTAAGGGAAATTATCTTGAGATAATTTTTATTATTATTATTTGTATATAATTTGACGTGTAAATTAAATGATTGATTTTTTTAATTTATGTGAAATGTAAATGTATTTATTCATTTAATAAAATGTAAACATTTTATAAAAAATGCATCCTTATACCACCGCCCTCAGATAAATTATAGTGAATATATTAAATATTATACTAATACAGGGGTGACAGAGGGGAGAGAAGAAATATACCTCAATGGACGGCATGGTGACAGAGATGTGTAGGTCCTTGCCATCATTGGAAGCTTCCATCATGGTGATGCAGTGAGAACTCTCTACATTCTGAGCCGGATCCTGGCCGGTGGCTATGTATATTGCCGAGACTATGTTGCCGGCATGGGCGTTGAAGCCGCCTAGAGCACCAGCCACGGCGGAGCCAGTGAGGTTCTTGAGCACGTTAAGTTCCAGGAGGGCGGACACAGTGGTCTTCAACACCTTCTTCACCACGTCTTCCTTGATGACTGCCTCACAGACCACAGACTTCCCCCGCCCTTCAATCCAGTTAACCGCCGCCGGTTTCTTATCGGAACAGAAGTTGCTAGAGAGGCCAATCACATCCATGTCAGGGAAATGCTCTTGGAGGAAATCAAGAACGTTTTGGACACCCTTTGAGACCATGTTCATGCCCATGGCGTCACCAGTGCTGCAGGTGAACCTCATGTACAAATTCTTTCCAGCAATGACACACTTCACTCCTTGTAATCTTCCAAATCGGCTGGACCTGAATTTCCAATTTAATTCTTCCTTTTAATTTTCCTTTACACAACCACCACAAAAAAAAAAAAAGGACACATAAAAAAGCTAAGCAAAGTGATATCTACCAAGACATGGAGTCACTAATTTTAAAACCTTGAGGGAAAAAAAAAGAGAGGCAGAATTAGAAACAGAGACCTGTTGAAAGCAACAGCAAGAGTACAGAAATTGGCGGGATCTTCCAAGAAAAACTTCAACTCGGCGGCTCTCTTGGCGGTGGCGAATCGTACAACCGGAGCTCGAGTCATGCCATCCTTCAGTAAGACGGAAGTGGCGCCACCGGAGGAATAAATGGCCTTGCATCCTCTGTTTGTGCTGGCTACCAAACAGCCCTCTGTCGTGGCCATTGGCACCATGTATTCCTTCCCGTCAAGCAGCAGCGGCCCAGCTATCCCCACCGGCATCTGCACGTATCCGATCGCCATCTCGCAGCACTGTCCCAAGATGGAGTCGTAATCAAATCCATCCAATGGTAGTCCTTCCAGCGACTGCCCTGTTATTCTCTGCAGCGCTTCACGTCTGATCATGGCCGCCCGCTTGCAATCCCCGAGCTTTGACTCGAGAGTGTAAGACGGGACCGACCCGGAAACGACTGATTCAATGATTTTCTCGTTCCCTTCGGGGAGGAAACTTGTCATGATGGGTGCAACGAATTTGGGAGAAAGAGAGCAGTCGATGGTAGCTCCCCCACAGGATTCGTCTTCGATGATGAATTTCGGCGGGGAGGTGGTGGCGGCAGTGGTTTGGTCATCGACATCCCAAGCATCAGGGGAGAACCGGATGTTGATGAAGGACTGGGCCAAGTCAATGCCGAAGAATCCGAAAAGGTAAATAACCGATGCGACCAAGGAAACAACCGCGGCAATTTCGGAAAGTGTGACGACGTGGAGGGGAATGGAATTGCGGATCTTCTCCCGCCACCTATGGAGGAGGAAGTAGGCGACGGAGAAAAACAGCGCGAAGACGATTCTGTTAGTGACGTAGAGGGGAAGTGGGAGACGCAGAGCATCAGAGGCTTTAAGAGGAGAGATGGGAGATTTGTGGGGTTGGTGGGGTTTGAAAGGTTCGCCGGCGGAGGCATTGGGGGTGGCGGTTGGTCGCCGGCGAACGTCCATGGGAGGAGGTCCGGCAGACTAGTAAAATGTGGGGGGACAGAGTAAAGATGTTTGAAAAAGGAGTGGATGTGAAACTAAGAGCAGAAGCTGTTATATTTTTATAGCAGGCTGGATGGCTTGTTGGACCATCGCTCACACGTACGGCCTTCAATGTGCATTTGTTGCTCCTTTTATGTTTACCCATCTCTTAATTTTTATTTATTACTATTTAACTTTTGGGATTGTATAAAACCAAAAAGTAAAGCTAAACGAAGCCTAGTTAAGAGGTAGTATCTTTTTGTTAGAACGAAAAGGTTCTTTTTTATATTAGTTGTATGATAATAGATAATTTTTTTTATTTTTATGCTATATAATTTAAATTTAAAATTTTTTATTTTTAATAAAAAGATTTTAAATTTATGTAATATAATAAATAAGATAACTTAAAAAATAAGAAATGATTATTTTTTTTTATAATTCAAAAATCTAGTAAGAGAAAAAGGTAAAAATAGTGACAAGCATGAATAGGATATTTTGTAATTATTAATGAATGATAAATTTTTTAATATTGAAATGCTCTCATTTCATGAATAGTTATAAATTATATAATTCAACCATCAATTGTGTAATACAATAAAAAAACTTTTTGTGTACTCTTAATAATAAGCTTAAAATCCACCCCTTACTTTTTTTCACATTAAAAAAACAGAACTATACGGGCTCGAACTGATAAATTATAAAATAACTTTCTCATATAGAAAACTTAATTAAGAGTTTTCATTTTTAGCAGTATTAATATACTGCGGAGTCTCAGTTAGAGATGGTTATTGGGTCATTCGAGCCGATTCTTGTTTCAAACCAAATTTTGATATGGGAAAACCGAAGACCGCAACTGACCTGAATTTATGGTGAGTTAGTTCAATTGTAAGCTTGATTTGGTTTCCAATTAGCCCTTGAGATTGTATTTTATATATATATAAAAAAAAAATTAAGCAAAATGCGCAAGACTTAATTTACTAAAGTTGCTTAGTTAATTAAACCTTGAAATGCTTTAAACAAGTTGATCCTAACTGATTCTTGATTCCACCAAAGCCAGTAATTAACTAGCCTGAATGGTGAATGCTTTGAACCGGTTTTTTGAAGTCTAATAATTCGTCTCCAAATCTTAGTATTTGAATAGAATTGATCAAGAATTCAAGTTCCATCGACTACTTAAATATTTGCATTTGGTCTATGAGTCATTGCTACTTCTTTGATCCATAGGTTGGCCCATTTCTCCTTTCCCCTTATAATTGCCCTTGTTTAAAAAAGAATGGTGAATGCTCCTTGGCTCAGAATGATTTGCAATTTTAGGGCTGTAAACCAGTTTTGATTCCATGTCAAATTGACTTGATGACCATGTCTAGTATTAGTGATAGCCCATTCACATCCAAGGAGATTCACTAATTGAACGAAAAAGTATCTCCTTCCAGCTTTCTTAAGTCGATATTAAACTTGAATGATCAAGTCACCGTTGTGTAAAACTCAAGTTATATATTTATAACACCTTGAATCTTAAATTTGGAAAGGAAGTGTAATTGGGTCTAGTATATAAATCATCAATTCCTATTAATAATTTGAGTTTAAATCCTTACTAATAAATTTTGGTTTTAAAAATTGTCAGTCAAATAATGAATTTTGATCTAAATCATTTCAATTAGTATCAAAGAAATTCACTCTGGATTCATAGAAGAAGTAGCGTTGGCTAGGAGAAAACCCTGAATTTCTTTCATGGAAGAAGTGGCATTAGCACAAGTCATTTCAATATTAACACAGACGTAGCATAATAACATGCTTATGAACTTGCATATAAGTTAGTAAGGTGTTTATCTGCTTATTCAAAACAGATATTCAAATCCCCGTAGTCCAATAAGCATAATACAACATGCGTCCCTTTCCTGCTTTTCAAACGCCTACGTACATCTTTTTACTGAATGCTGAAGTTGATGTCCATGCCAATTGATTCCCTTGTTTAATTAGCAAGAAAAATGCTCCTCTTTTCTTCAAGGTATGACCATGACAAGTTAATAATTTGATAAATTTCTCAATCATAGTTTGCGTGTTGTATGGTTTCTGTAGAAATATGTTCGCGAATACATTATCTCCAAATTAAACAGAAAACAATGCTACATCCATAATTATTATTTTTATTATTATTTTGTCTAACCTCTAATATTCAAAAATCATATTGAAATCTATTTAATTTTAAGTTAATTCATGTTAGACCGATAAGGGAGAAACTCTCTTAGAAAATGTTTTTCTATTTAAGAGATTCGAACTCAAAATTTTATTTAAAAAAAAATTGAATTCATTCTGCTTAGAACAATAAATTTTTGGTTTGCTACATCCATAATTTAATTGTATCCTTTTTGCATAAATTTCTTTGTCCTCTTGCTGGTGCCAAAACATACAACAACAATACAGCATACCACACTGCTAGACATAGGAAAAAAGGGTTTCTTTCTTCTTCTTCTTCTTCTTCTTCTTTTGGTTGGGACAATTAAGGTGTCCTAATTAAGTTCGGTTTACATAAACAATTTATTAGTTCAAGTAAAAGAAGTTTGATTTTTTTTAAATAACATTTTAAGTTTAAATTTTAAAAAAAAAAAAGATGTGCTGAGAAAGTTTTTCTTTATGAAAATTGAAGTGATTTAACTCTAAATTAATCAAAACTCAATATAACTTTCAAATATTAAAGGGTTTAGTAAAAAAAAAAAAAAAAAGAGGAGTTCAGCTTGCGCACAATATTAATATTTTCTTGAACAATTCTAAAAGCGTACGTCCATACCAAAATTTCGTGAGACATTAAGATGTTTGTTCCAAGACTTAAACCTGTTTAGCCTATAAAAAGCTTGTCGGTGAATCTTACCATTGTGTTTAGAAGAGTTTTCATTTTTAACCTCCAGAAAAGGAGAAGTTAGAAACAAGAAACCGAAGCAATTACATTATAAATATCTCCAAGAATTGTGAAAAGTCAAGCATGGATGATTTATTAAATTAAATCTTCAAGAATCGTGTAAGGTAAAGCATGGATGACTTATTACTTGCTTGCTTCATCAAAATCACACATGTATATAGATATATATATATATATATATTTCTTGTGTTATGGGTGAATTAATTTGTCCGGTTCATTAGGATTGGGAAACTAAAAGGATACGTATTTTTTTTTAATTTTAGCTGTATAATGAAAAACAATCATTTCTAATCTTTTATCTTACTTTAATC